ATAAAATTAAAATATACTTAACATATTATTAATATTTTGGATTTTAATTTTATAGTAGTAAATTTATAAAATATTATCAAATTTGTTTTCAAATTTATCTGTTTTGACCACCCCTAATCTATAGACATACATATAACCCAAACATTAACTTATTGAGAAAAAAACTTGCTCATTCAATAAAATATTATTAAATAGTTTATCCCTATATCTAACTTACAAATATTTCAAGTCCTATCTCATGATATCAGACATTAAAGCTTTTTGGTTTCTTCAATTTACGAAGAGTTTATAGGAATTTTGTTTTATTTCAATACTGAAAAATATATGCAAAACAAGAGTAAAATTTACAACAGAATTCAATTGACCTCGAAAACAGGTGTTTAAAAGGATATACATTCACATAAGAGGCTTTTTGAATAAAGACATCTCCTTTGAAAATATCTTAAACGACAAGTTTTTTTTCCCTCGGACAAACGAGGTTAACTTATTCAAAGACAAATACTAAAACTTTAAAAGTCAGCACACTTGGCAGTTTAGAAGAAAGGTTGAGTTAAACTAAAATGAATAGTTTCAAATCATACTAACCAGAATTTTTTTTCAAATCATTTATACAATAAAGGCGTATACTAATTACAGTATTTATAAAAGAAAATTATTAATGTCTATTGTTTATTAATAATATTTGTAGATACTTAGTAACATATGGCAAGTGAGATTTTTTTTTTTTTTTGTATATGAATACCTACGTGATTGTATGCGATAAGGACATTGAGACTTGGGTTTATGATCTACACATGTGCTGGGAACAGTACGCATGCGCATCGAATGATAATTAGGGTTGGAACTGTTTTCCGGAACTCTGTTCACGTATAACAGCAGATTTTTATACTTAGTGGTATTCATTCTTCTTACTATTCTCTACTTCTTATCGTTCAATTTGACTTATTCATTACAAACGATGAAACGACCAAATAGATATAATAAATTGTAAAGATAATATTTTCTGTTATACTATTAACTAATATATGAATATAAATACTAATATAAATATAATACCATAAGAATATGTGTTAATTTAATATTTTCGTACATTGTTGAATATCTATACTTTAGAAAAATTATTGCAAATTATAAATTTTCTATTAGGTAGTAAATGTAATAATTTTACGGTTATATACAATATAAATTTAATTTTAAAAATAAAATAAGTTATTTTATAGATATGTAAGTACCTAACGTAAAAACTAATATAAATTGTATATGTTTAGCACCCCTGTATATTACGCACAGGATGAATCATCCTCCAGACGTCTAACGGCCAAGGCAAACATGAGACAGTGGGCCTCGAGGCAATTCATTGTCATGCCAGTAAAATATTTATTTAATTTCAAAAATGACTCTATTGTAGGTTTGAGATCTCAAAAACAGAATTGATTTTAAATAATTACTTTATTTTTATTTTTAAAAATTTATAAAACTATTTCACAGAAAATAATAATTTTTTTGTGTAAAATAAACTATTATAACAATTAATGTTTTAAATATCATTATTACTTGTGTCTACTATTAAATGTAAAACTGAAAATTAGAATAACATTGTAATAGAGACGACCAGATTCAAATTGTCTTACATTATTCTGACGTAATTGTATATGGGTGTGTACAATGTGTCAATGTACATACACCACAATCTATACGGAAGTTCAGAATGAGTCATAACGAAATTATTATAAGGATTATGACATTATTTTTATTTGACCTAAAACTTTGTTTATTAAAGTAACTATTTATATCAAATGTATACGATTTCTTTAATGTAAAATGCGAGTGATATACTAACATGGAACAAAATATTCAACCTAATAATACTAATAAAAAGGTCCCCTATGGAGTCAGTAGACTTTACAAAGTACACGGAGGATTAATAGACAGAGAAGTTCAAATGAATTAAAAACATTATTTTACAAAATAAAAGTAAGTAATACTGAATATTTTTAATAAAAAAACCTTCACTATTCTTGTTTAACAAAAATATAGATGTTAAAATTAAATATAAGAATGGTTCGATTATATTCTAATCATATTGTAAAAATCTTAACCCGCGAAAAGTTTTTAGGATTAAATAGATTTAGCGCAGAATTGATTATCTAATGTGCTAATTAATCATTAAACATCATTAACAATTATTGGTTATCATCAATTTTAAAATGAATACTTAATAAAAATCCCGGTAAAAATCTTCTATCAACATTTTTTATTTAATTTTACATAAAGTATGTAACTAATTATAAGAACATTTGTTTGAAAAATAATAAAATAAATATTTTATATCATAAAATATAAAGTTATAAAGTTTATACTTCAAACATGATAACAGCAATAACCGAAAATTGCCTAACACCTAACTACTTAATTTTAGGATTTCATTAATATACTATCAGAGTCTAGGCGTATAAAAATATAAACATTGATGGAAAACTATACATATACCTAGCCCATAACAACTTGCTTGACCTTATCATTATTATTAAAACCAGTAGGTATTGTATAACATTTTACCGTGCAACCCAAAGTAAAATAAGAAATACAAATAACAATTGAATAGTAGAACTAAACGGGCGTACGCCGTTTGGGTGAATCGACCCAAAATATAGTTTGTTTGGGCGAATAAATATATACCATTTGGGCGAATAGATATGTACCGTTGGATGGTATAAAAATGCTTATAATATACACTCAACAATTAATTAAACAAAATTATATAAAATATAAATAATTAACAATAAGTTATGTTTAAAAAAAAATATTGATATGAATATTGATAATATTATTATAAATATAAGTAGGTAGTTAGTAATCTACGGTCAAAAAATTATAAATACTATTACATATAATATAATTAGTATATTTTAAAGAAATCTATTAATCAATATTGGCTTTGTACGAAAATGCTCATAATACACATTCAACAATTAATTGAAAGAAATCATATAAAATATAAATAATATTACTATTTATAAGTAGGAAATAATCTACAGTTAAAAAATTAAAATAATAAAATAAAATTACAGATAATATAATTTTTAGTAGTTTTTAAAGCAATTGGCCTGATATTTTAAACTAAAAAATTTTATATATTCTAATTGGTTAATATCCCCTCTTTTATATTTATTCCATGTTTCTTGTACAAACTCTTTATTTTTTATTAGCAATAATATCATGCGTATCTGTCATCAGATTTTTACCTCGCACAGGTAAAAATAATTTCACTCAATCAAATGGATTATTATTTTTTTGGTCAATATTATTACCATTGCCCAAACAACCACTGCCCAACTATACTAACCTTAAGTTTTGCTCTGTTGTCATTTCTAATAACCATATACATAATTAAGTATAAAATACGATACAACCATATGATACTACAAGATACAACAAACAAAACTGAAAATATAAGAAGAGAAGCCATTTTTTTTTTTTTATATATGAAATGTTAAATATTAAGATACATAGAAAAATGTATAGTAAAATAATTTAATCTATGCAATATATATTTATTAGTAAATTAAGAATACAATACCAACTTACATATATCATAAGTTGAAGTATATTCAAAATCTAATATTGATATAAAATTAATTTTTATCATTTTTTTTGCTAATATAGTAAAATGTGTTTTATTTAAAAATAATATTTACAACGAAAATATAATTAAGAAAAGATAAGAACAAACTATTAACGGAAAACAATGCATAATTCACCCATAATAACTGTCCAAATGTCCAATGACTAAAAATGTAAGTCGATTATTAATAAAATTAATATATGAACGTCCTACAAAATAAAGAATAATTTACGATATGTATTTTCCAATTGCTTGCACAACATAAAAAGTGCATGTTAACGTTTTTTTAAAACTCAAACAACAAATTAATAGTTTATTACAGAGAAAAAATTACGATGACAAAATTAATATGAAATTCACGTCTAAAAAAAAAAAAGAACTTATGTAAAATAATACTAAAAATAATTGTACCAAATAAAATTTTCATTAAATTCAACTAATTTATTAAGGTATTTATTTAGATATAAAACATTATTTTAAATAAAAACAATTAAACAAAACATATCTAACATATGATGTTTAGATTGATGAATACTAAATAAAGAATAACACAATACAACAGTCAACAATGAAATAATCAGAAAATTATATTTTTTTATAATAATATATAAATAATGTAAATATGGAATAAAGTAATAAAATAAATTTACGAAAACTTGAGCCTTTATTTAGAAAGTATAATTAATAAATATAATAAACGTAAAATACCATTTAAAATAATTTATTTTAAAGAATGTTGTTTTATTAATTATATATTGAACAGGGATATTCAAAAACTAACTATTAAAACAAAAATGAACATAAACGAGTCTGTACACCTAAGTTACACTATAATTGTTTTAATTCTAAATAACTTTATTGATTATATAAATATAATTTGTACCAATTTAAAAACATGCAAATCGATTTTAGCCTTTAGGGACTACAGTATAAAGTTAATAGTTAATTATATAAAATCATACATAAACAATACAACAAACCATTCATACTTATAATAAAACATATTTTTTACAATAATGAAAAACGATAAATTGGTACGTATTTAAAATATATTACATTAGTTCGTTTTATTTTTTTTTGTTCACAAAGAAAGGAAACACGTCAGAAGTTCGCAGAATCCGTAGGCCGACAAATCGCGTAGGTATTCAAAGATAGAAAATAACTATATAACAGCACACGCAACCGTAGAAGTAAAACAATAAACCTGCCCCCCTTCTACCATTAAAATGTCATTATATCGACATCAGTCTACCCGATAATCTAATGTCAGTGATCAATTAACACAACATAATTCAATTTTAAACCCAAAGACGTAAATTTATTGGTCTAGGTTTGTAATTTGTAAATAAAATGATAAAAAATAATTAATACTTACATAGTCGACCAAAACTATGGCTCAGGCGTTTTTTAATTTTTTGAACTTTGCTTAAAGCACCACTCTTCTTTTCTCTCATGGTAACTCCTAAAATAATAAAATAGTAATTAACACTTTCAAATATTACCATTTAAAAACATTTGTAATAATATAACAAATACATAAAATAAATTTTACTATTTTTAACAAAGGAAGTAAAATACAATTTAAAGCAATCAGTAAAATTGAAACAGACGTTAACGTAAGTGGAGTATTCAGAACTATATCTAAATATTATAGTGTATATACCTAAACAGGGTTACACAGATAAATCAAATTGGAAACAATTCCAGATAATCAATGACAACTTTGCGATAGAAAATTGATTATAATATTCTACTCATTAAACCAGAATTTACCTTACGTCGGATATTTTTAAACAACAGCAAAATAAACAGCAAGAATATCAATTTTTTATGGTCATTGTACACTCGGTAAAAATTATATTAACAATAAAAAAAAAAATGTGAAAGCAACAATTATAATAATATATAAAATTAATAAATACACATGTATAAATATATGAAAATATTTTTTAGAAAAACTGCACTAAAAATAATATGCAAAATTAAAAAGTATTATTTAAATATTAAATATCACACAGTAAAACATACACATAACGAGACCATTAGCCAACGGGTCACGAGAACCACTAACTAAATTCAGTAGCAACTGGCAAGCTATGTCAGTTCATGTCCACCAGTGTCGCCGCTCACCATAATACGATATTATTGTTCGAACAGATAAATTGTAATATTTTTATTTTACTCCACCTAACGATGTATTATAATAGAGAATAATAAGAAATTAAAACATCAATATTATTTTTGCAGTTCTATACTCATCTATTTTTATTGGTATATTTAATTTTAATTAACCAAGATAATATTAATTTAAAATAGTGTTTTAAATTGAATAATACATATACATTAAATTTTATCATTTTTATAATTACATTTAATAAATTAAAAGAATTTACAAAGATACAAAAATTGACACAAATAGATATAATATAGAATATTTACATAATTTAAATTCAAAGAAAATATTATTTAGTAGTTATTAATTGTTTGTTTTCTAAGATCACGTTTAATTTAAATTTTATACTCCTAAGTGATTTAAATATTTGAATGAGATGCCAAAGTCAAAAAAAATAAAATAATTGAAAAAAATCTTATGAAGTAGTAATAAGATACAAACCCTCAAAAAAAAAAAAAAAAACCTAGGATTATTTGATAAACAATATTTAGATAAACTTCGTATATTTTGAGTGAAATATATAAGTACTCTATAATATTGTTTGAATTTTAGTGAAAAACATTATTGCGTAAATTAAAACTAGCTTTATTGAATTGTATAAAATATAATATTTTTCAACAAATCAATACAAAATACATTAGTTACTTATAAAATAAGACAAATTTATTAACAATAAGTATCTCCACGAATAAATTACATAATCTTAAGAAAAACTAAAAATACCTAGGCTCAACTTAAAGTATTTTTCATTTGCAACTAAATAAAAAGGGATATAATATAAAAGTATTTCCTCAACGCATAAATCTGGATTCCAATCTTACGTTAACCATGCTTGACAGCAAAATCCTTGTCAAAATCAAAAAGGGGATATGGATAGGGGTCTCTCCTTCACTCACTACACCCAAAACAATATTCGCCATCTGGCACACAAAGGGTCATTGCAACATCAACTACTAAATTTCTACTTCCCTTTTCCCTCCAGTCATATTCAAGTGGTCATAATTAATTGTAATAATTATTATTATATGGGCCCACTACACATCAAACCTTCCCTATTTCAACCAAACATTAATATATATATGTATACATGGATCAGACGCTGAGGCCCTTTTTTACGAAGGGTAAAATAGTTAAATAATTTATATTATTTGATTAGTCAACCAATAGAAAATGTACATTCCACTTCAATAAATACGTACTTAAATTGAAAAAGAAATCCTTAAATACAGATATACTTAAGTATTATTTTTTGTTCAACATCAAAACTATTAACCTACCGAATTAAATAGTTATCAAACAGATAGTATATTATAAATTTATAAAAAATCGGGTGAAAAATCAATACTGAACATTTTTAAAAAATTATGCAATACCTATCTAAAATAAAAATTTCACTAATAATTTAATTCAATATACTACCAACAACAAAGGCTAAAATCAAATTATGTATTACCATACAGACTATCGATTTATCTCCCAATTTTATTATTTTTATAAATCTACAATTATACAATTAATTTTACACCTACATTTTTTATGAAATAAATGTACTTATAGCATAAACAAAAGTAATTTATAACTAATTTAACTAGAAGGTTTTTTTTAAATAACTACAATTTAATTATTTGAAAATTAATAATTAATAATATATGTCTAGAAGCTGAAATTCGATATCCTTACATAGTTAGCATAAATGGCATGAATTACATTAAGTAGAATCTATTATATAAAAATTAATTCAATGAGTATAATTGTACGATATTTAATAAAACTAACAAATATTTATTAAATAATAAGAAAAAAAAATAATAAGCTTTAAATTAAAATGTAAATCTAAATAATACTTAAATGTAAATACTTATATATCAAATGTTAAAGACCAAACCTATTAAGTAAATGGTTTAGATTCATATCATATGAAATAACATTAAGTGCCCGTTATTCCCCTCCATATTTTCCCAGTTTCTACATTGCATCCCTTAATAAATATGACCTACATAAAAGGTTCCACAGAATCATAAAATAGTTTTCATTTGCTCTCCAACATTAATTTCTAATTTAAATTCAGGCAAGCACTATTTCCTGGCAATATAAAAACAGTCGAAGATGGGCGCATAGGATCAATTTACCACCAGAAGAAACCACACACAAGGGACCTCGAACGGAGGATTTCCCTAACCATATGCCTTCAAAATATTAATTATTCAGAACATTCAGCAATGAAACAAACGAGCCAATCACATAGTAATAGTTAATTGGAATTGAAAAGTTTTATTTCACCAATGAAGTAATCAAAAACGAATTTTATTACTACATCCAACTTTTGTTGTCTTTCCATGTGCTTTGTTTTTTTACTTCTCAACCCAAGTCCTTCTATACAAAAACAATTACACCACAAATTCAAGAGAAAGCGAATGATGGGATTAAGTTACCTAGAAAAACGTCCCAACACGTTATATTGTCCACCCTCAAGTCGGACTGTACGAAATTCAATTACGAGGTTGTCCGAGAACAGTCACGAACAAATTGCAACACGAAATAAGTACCCTTGATGTTCAAATTTAATATACTGTATGATTCAGAATCCTCGAAGTATTATTTGAAATGTTTCACCTTTCAAACATTAAAAGTAAAGTTATAAATCATAACGCCACAACAGATAAATCTAATGATATAATAATTTCCTTATTGTTCAACATAGAAAAATCAATATTTCAATTAATTTAAATTCGAAATTTAAATATACTTACACGTAAAAATATAATTTAAATACATGTACACATTTTACGTAGAAACACATATTAAATACATTTTTTTTTTTTTTTTTTTTTTTTTAATATAACGTTAATAATCAAAAAAATAAAAAAATTAAAATAGCAGTCCACAAAAAAAAAAAAAAAAAAAAATGATTTGTAAATCTTTATGTGATACTAGTTTTACTTATTTATATATATATTTCAAATAATTGACAAACCTACTAGTACTTATTTTATCTAAAATTATTAAAAAAAAACACTGAATTTTAAAATGAAGAAGAAGAAAATTAATCATGAATATCTTTCAATATTATTGGTGAGTTACAAACTTTAAACGTTCATACAAAAAAGTTATCCTAATTCTATTCATACTAATTGTATAAATTTATACTCTCGGGTAATATTCTCGAACCCGAAGAAATAATTAATTATAAAGTTTAAAAACATTTAACGTTATAAGATATTCATTTCTGAATTAATTTACAAAAATAGTTAACAACAATTGGAAAATCTCTAAAATCTCCAAACTATCAAAAATATGTCAAATAAAATGTATACGTTTATTTATGAATATACCTTTATTAAATAATTAAATAATTCATATATACCAGAGTTTAGTTGAAAATGTAACGTATTACATAAAAATTATTAAGACGAATTAAAAATAGTTGTCTTGGATAATTAATACAAAACTTAATATTCTATTTTTAAGCTCCTTTAAAAATATCAGTAGATAAAATATATCTATTATTAATAAATAATATACTTTATTATGTGATACACCTAATACATAAATATTTTTTTATTAGTTATTAGAATATCTATAGTAAAAACTTCACGAAAATAATAATAAAATACATTCAAAACCAAGTTACCAATCGGCCCAAATGTCATCAGTGTGTAATATGTGATTAAATAACATGAGTGTAGTATACACATTAAACGAAATGTCGGTTAGCCAAACCTAATTCAATTTCCTACCAAAAGAGGAAATTGCATGACACGAGATGGCAGACTAGTGTATCATGTGCGGTTATTAAAAATAAGGTTAATTAAAACTGACTAGCATTAACATAATCGAACTGACAATAGTTCATGTTACAATGTACTTGCACATACATAAATATTTTAAATTATTTAACAAAGAATTATATATAATATAACAAATAAAGTTAAAGTCGTTTCATTTTACGTGAAGTTCAAATTATCAACCTGAAATACTGTATTAATTATATTATGAAACCTAATAAAGGTTTTATATATTTCACAACCCTTACAATCATATTAAATAAATTAATATAAATTAGACATTAAATCTTAACAATCATAGTAGATACATTTTAAAAATGAGCTATATAAATATCGAAATATTATCTCAACAATCAATATACCATTCAAAATACAGCAAAAAATGATTCATGCAATATTAATTTCGAAAAAATACAACTGAAAATTCCAAGAAACTTACAAAAGGAGCTTTTGAAGTTATAAGCAATATATGAGATTAATTCTATCGTAAACAATAAAATATTG